AGTCTAACAAGTCGCTGGAACTCAAATTTAGATTTGGCTTACTGGCTTATGCCTAGGCTTGGACTCCAGCTTAAGCTTGGGCTTGGGCTTAACGTAGATCTAAGCTAAATTTTTGCTTGAGCCTTGGCTTGGAGTAAGCTTAGGACTTGGCTGGAGAGAGTTAGCGAGACGGAGAGAGCGAGAGCAGGAGAGAGAGCGAGAGAGAGATATATAGAAAGCGAGAAAGAGAGCCAGAGAGCGAGAGTGATAGAAAGCCAGAAAGGGAGAGATAAAAAGATCGAGAGAGAGAGGGAGAGCGAGAGCGTTGGAGTGAGCGAGTATGCGTGAGAGCGTCTGAGTGGAGAAAGCGTCTGAGTTACCGAGAGTGAAAGAGAGACGGAGAAACAAGGGAAAGAAGTAGGTAGAAGAAAGATATAAAGTTTAGTTTCATCGTCACTACCATAATCGGATTTTCAAGCTAATTCTACACCGATATTTCAGCTCTTCGTCAGCTTCTTCTTATCCAAGTTTTAACCGGTCTAGGTCCAATCCTTCGAAAGCAATTATGCTAATGACCCTACAAGGGCAGGTGCTGCCCACCTTCTATTGCGCATTTTTTGGAGAGCAATTTGATCCGCGGCGGGTTTTCGGTTTCAGGGTGGGTGGTGAAGGTGGGGCGTGGAAAGTCAGTTTAGAGTCCCAAATTCATTCGGTTCCAGGAGTTTAATGCAATATTTTGTTTCACACAAAACAGCATCTAGGCCCTAAGCCACCAAGTGTTGAAGCCCTAACGCACGCCCCTCGTTTAGCAATTTCTTTCCTTTGAAAATGGAAAAGCTTAGGTCTTTTGCCCAAGATGCCGGTGGACGTGCTGGCAACGTTGGGCGATGTGCAGTTGGTGAAGAAGGATGGATCTACGGTGGCCGCAAAGCAGGCCCTCGACGGCAAGCTGGTCGGCTTTCTTTTCTCGGCCCATTGGTGTCCTCCATGTCGAAAGGTATGGAACATTTCTTTCTTTCTCTCCCTCCCTCTCTCTCTCTTTTTCTTCAATCTCCTCCCTTCTAGCTCACCCCTGCCGTGAAGAAATTCTACGAAAGTCTCCGCTCCTCCGGGCACAACGAGTTCGAGGTGGTCTTTCGTCACCTCAGACAGGTTTGAGGCAGATTTCTTTGAAGTCTAAAGTGACATAGGACCGAGCCGGATATGATGGAATATATGGAGATCCACGGCGATTGGTACGCCATTCCGTTTGGGGATCCACTTATTAAGTGAGTTCATTTAAGGTTTTGAACTCATGAAAATTCAAAAATTACCCAATAAAGTCGCGGAGCGGCAAAATTCATAGAAATCCATAGCCGCCTATGTCTTTCCGCAACCTTTAAAATTCCTTAAGAACCCTGTCGGACCGATTTCGCGTGATGGGACTCCCCTGTTTTGCCATCGTCAACCAGAAGGGCATTGTCGCGGCTAAGAAGTCGGCAAAGAATGATGTTCAGGTGGGAGAGAGAGAGAGAGAGAGAGAGAGAGAGAGACAAGATTATCGCCCCACACCGACTACCGTAAACAATTTCTGAGGTTTTAGGAAAAGAAGAAGGGGAATCGGGCGCTGCTCTCCGAGTGGAAGAAGGTCACCGAGGATGTTGCTGAATAGTGGATATAAGAAGACTTTTAATCCTACAAAATATACAGAAATTACGCTATTAAAACATGCATTTTGGGCTTAAATTTTCTATTTTTGTCTTTACCAAAAAAAAATTCCCAATTTTTATCCATTTTGCATTTAAAATTAGAGGTTTTTCATATTAATGCAATATGTAATAAATATTTTTACAGTTTAATATGTAGTTTTTATGCATTTTTTGTTTTTTTTGTTTGTTCTAAAACTTTCGGTCAATTTTTAACCTTTCCAGAATCGAAAATTATTGTTTGGGTCCGTTTCCAGATACCTTGTTTTCGGCGCGCTTCTCCGGCAACCTGAAAAACCCCCAAAAAGGGAACAAAAAGCTCGGCATGCTCGCCCCGCGTTTCCACATCGTCGTCTTGGATACCACACGAAATAACGGGCTTGGTGGGGCCCTTGCCGGGCAACCCGCCGATTTTAGGCCGCCCAGGGGGATCCGAGCGATTCCAACCGGCACGCCATCCCATTATTAATTTTTCCTGGATTTCTTACTGTAATTGTAAGGTGCTTAAATCACGGATCGTTCGAGCGTCGTACGGTCGTAAATTTTGTATAGAAAACGGGATTTCCGTGTATAAAATGGAGCGCGGAAAAATGGAGGCATTTTAAAACCGGACAGTTACTCATTCCTGGATATTTCCTCTCTCTCTCTCTCTCTCTCCTCTCTGCTTTTCTTGGTTTTTCAGTGTTTTTACCGTCAAAGCTGCGCCAGACATTTTGAGGTCCTTTCGCATTATCGGGGGGGACAATTTTCAGGCTTCTTTCTAGACGTGCCTGTAAGATAATCTCCAGTATTTTAAAGTTTTTAGTAAAGTTTAGCTATACTGGAAAAAGGATTTTTTAGATTTACAAAAATCTTAAAAATTGAGATTGTGGAACAGTCCGTGCATTTTGAGGGTTATAACAAGATTTATGAGGATTTTAAGTTTTGGAGTAGATAAAACCTATTTAAAAAGGCACTTTGAATTTATGTTAGAAAAACCATTAGAAACAGTTATTTTGTGAAGGTTTCAGCGCTGCAGATCAGCTCCATTCTGGCCTCTATGTGGTCATCATTATGATAGTCGACGCCGCGAGTCGTGCCCCGACAATTCTGACTCATTTCTTCTCCTTCTTCATGTATTGTTTGTCCAATAGCCTTTTCCCCCTCTTCTTCTTCGGTCTTTCCCCCATCTACGATACCCCCCAAAACCTCTTGCCAGTCAAAACACATCAAAAACCCGGCCTTGAAACCATCACTTTTCGTTAATCCTATTTTTGATTGGGTTTTTTGGGTTGTTATTTCCAGAGTATTAGTATTGCTACGGAGCGTATTGGTTTTTTCTAGCGTTTAAAGGGCCGCGCAAGAACTGGCTATTGATTTTTGACTCTGATTTGCGCATGAATTTTTACGCACGCCTGAATTTCTATGTCGTAATCGATTACCACGTTTTTCTAGCTATAACCTGTAGGTATTAGGTGTGGCGAGGTGAGTTGACGGTCCCTTAAAGTGGCCTTGTTTTTTCACCTACCTCTTAAAGGCCCATATTAGCTGTCGAGCCTTGCAGGCGATCTAGCAAAGGCTTTTGAAACTTGAAAGTTCACCAGAGACCACCGAGCAGAGATTCGTTAGAAACGAGCCTACTCGTACTTGCGGCAAACTTGCAGCGAGCGTTGAGGAATGATGTTGGACGGGATCGATGAAAGCTAGCATATATTCTTTAGTAAGTAAGCAACCTTAGTTTACTTACACGCGTTCAGGTGTTCTGTTCCGGTGTTCGTTCCGGTCTTCATTCTCTAACCATTTCCCAAGTTCACTTCCGTAAGCCGAAAACAGGCCCTCCAGATAGCCGGGCGTCCCGTAAAAAACTCAATTCAGGGTTACCCCCTCGCATCATGGCCGATCCCCAAAAATAACAACAAAAAATAGGAGGTGACTGTTTGGGGGAAGAGAGAGTGAGAGAGAGAGAGAGAGTGACGGAAAAGGGAGATAAGCCCATTTTGATAGGCCTGGTATTCTGCCCTTTCCGCTTGACGCGTCGTCAGGATCCCCCATGCGAACACTTTGAAACCCGCTTTTTTGTGTTGTCAACCACGATTCATACTCTGGACAAATATTTGGTAGCTTGGAGGCAAGAAGGCCCTTTCCGATCACATGAATGCCCGGGGGATAGATAGCGCTGGGGGGTGGGGGTGGCTGAAGCTTTCCCAGAAACCGGGAAGTGCCGAGCCTTTTGTGGCGAAACCCTCATTCTCAGTTTGCTTTTTGATACGCTATTCTACTTATTGTTGATGCGTGATAGCTGGCATTTTTCATATGTTCTTCTTTCTTTGCTGGATACCTTTTCAATTCATTGCTCGTGTTCTTTTTCGATTTTTCGCGTCTTTTTTTGCTGTTTTCTCTGCTTTCGACTGTTTCAACACCCTTATAAAGTTAGTTATATTTTAAAGGCGATCGAGATCACACTTCCGGGCTTCGGGAGGCGTCCCAGGGCATCGTGCCGAATTTGGCGCTGATTCAGAATCTGGCTATCGTTTTTGCCGAATAGGCCTTTCTCGAAAGTTATAAACGATTTAAACCCACAAACCCCCAAAAATCTGCTGCTTGCGGCGGACCTAAAAGGCTTCGGAATATGTTTCAGAAAAAAGCATTCGGTGTAACTGGTTCAGAAAATAATCTCTAGGAAATTATCCTAGGAAATATTTTCGTAACAAAATTCCGCAGTAAATCATAATTTTAAAATTACTGATATATTCATTATTACCTGAAAATAATATTATTTGTTTGATATCCCCCCCCTCCCCCACCCCCCTTCCTATTATTAATTATTTTTATATTTCCATAATATCCATCAAAACTCGCTGATTTGTGGCTTTTCCCGGCTTAGATAGCGATAACGTTCGTAAAATAGTTGTTCTGCAAAAACGGCAACCGTATTCGGAATCAGCGTAAAATTCTGCATAAGCCAGGTTTGGACCCATCCCGAAGTCCGAGCGACACTCAAAAAGGTCTGCTTGGAAGTAGCACGGTTTAGCATAGTTGGCAAGTTTGAAGCTTCGTTTCGTCCCCACCCCCTTGTTTGCACTCTCCGAACTCTTCTATGTTTTTTGCGATACTTAAAAACTTTATTCCCGCCCTTCCTTTCTCACAAAATTCATCACAAGCTTCAAGACAAAGCAGCGGCAAACCCGAAACCTGGGTATTCCCCAGTATTACCGAATACCCGAAACTGAGTCATAGCTCCAGACGCACACACCGCTTTCCCTCCGCTCCTCCCGTCAATTGTACGGTGCCGGAATTCTTTTCGGGTTTTTGGCGGATTCATCGAGGGCATGCTAGCGGGGATCATTGCCACGCCTCCGCCGGCTGTACATACATTTCCGGATTCGGGAAAGCGCATCAAAAAAGGAGGGGTTGTCGATATGTTTGAAATCTTTGCTTAGGCTTAGTCTTGGGCTTATGCTTAGGCCCATAGGCTTGAGCTTAAGCCTAGGCTTCGGTTTAGGCTTACGCTTAGGCTTAGGCTAGTCAGTGAGTAAACTTAGGCTCTGACTGCGCCTTGAAGCTTAGCTTGGGTTCAACTTCGTCTTTGATTTTTTTCGCTTCAGCTTAAGCTTCTAACGCTCATCTGGGCTTAGCCCTAGACTTGCTTTCTTCTTAATTTTTTTCTTTGATTGTTTTTACGGCTTAGGACGAGCTCCGAAGTCTCTGGGTTGTTGGTGCTATTCAAAAGCCTGCTGTCACCCTCCCTTTAAAGAATCCCTCTCAGTACTGGCCATTAACTCCTCGATCAGAATCTCTATTTTCCAGGGAGCCCATTTGTTCGATGGTTGAATCTGGGTGTCCACAGGGATCGTTTCGTTGGGGGCTGTTGACCGTACCGATTATTCCTCCCGCGGTGTATCACTATATCAATTCGTCTCAATCTCTCTCTTTTTCTCTTTCTCTCTCTCTCGCTCTCTCTCTCTCTCTCTCTCTCTCCCTCTTTCTCCCTCCAGCACTGACCATCAATTTACACGCACTCATCCCCAGCGGGCGGGCCCCAAATAGCACGGGTGCCGGCGTATTTTGGCCTCATGCCATGTCTGGTTGTCGGTTTTTTTGAAAAGTAAACATCAAGAATTTATTCGAAATGTTTGCAATATCGCTACCGTAAATGCTGGGTTATGGATTATTTTCCTAAGGAATGAACATGTGTAAGCCGTCTGCCGTATGTCTCTCTCGCTCTCCCTCTCTCTCTCTCGCTCTCTCTCTCTCCTAGGAGAATGAGCCAGGCGTACAAAACCTAAAAATTCATGGCCATTAGTGAAATGTCCCTTTAAAGGTAGCATGAGAGATCTACAGATTTTAAGATTTTTCTGCTTTTCCGCCCCATTCCTCTTTACACCCTTTAATTACATTGCGTTTTATCCTAATTACAGACATAATGGCCGACCTCGTCGGCTCGATCCTTCGCGGAAAACAAAGCAGTTACGAAATCAACGACACCGAGCTGCCGACCGTGAAGCAATGGTTTGATGGTACGGTGTGATACCCTGGGACTACGATAACCGGGCTTTTTTAGAAATGGACCTCTACTACGAGGGCTTTATCGTCTTTTCCACGGTGTGCACGGCGCTGGTGATCGTGATATCGGTGGGTTAGAGGGTAAAACGGGGCCAATAACGAACCACGAAATTTGCATAAAACCCTTTGGAGCCCAAAAACTGCGGCAAACAACTGTGTAGGGAAAAACGAAAAAAGTGTTTTAAAGGGACAAGAAACCCTATTTTTTTTCACAATAATAAAAATTCATTTTTAAAAAATTACAAAAATTATAAAAACCCGAGTTTAACTAGAATATCTTTTCAGTTCCTCCATCTCTACTACGTGCTCAGATATATCAGCAATGAACATATCCAGACTGATCTCTACTATTTGGTCTTTATGTTTCCGGTAGGTACTATGGGGCTACTATACCTTCTGGGCGTCCAGAGTACAGTCGCGTAGTCCCCGGATGCACTTTTTACAAAGTCTGGTGTTCAAAGACCCTCGCCCAATCCTGGGCGTCTTTGCACGTATTTTAGCTACGGCCAGCGTTCAGAGTACAGTAACGTAGCCTGCGTCGCAGAGTACGGTAATTTCCAGCCTTAAACGGCGCTTGTCAAATGTATAACTTCACGTACTGC